GCAGTATTAGCACAATTTTTAAGAGTTTTTTTATTTTATTTTAACGATAAAAGAATAAAAACATGTTAACAAACACATACATTTAGAAAATAACGCAAAAACAATACAAGCAATACGGAATTTCAGACAAGGTGAGGAAATTGGCTATGGTTGTTGTATTACATCTTGATATCTTCAAATTGGTTACTCAGGTAAACAAATACAGACATGTAGGATTGATCAAACAATTAAACATTAACTGTTTCTTTCAATAAAGCAAGAGAAGTCAGTAGTACAACTATGTTAGCTATCCTGTGTATACATCTATGCATAATCTTCCCTTTCTTTCTTCTTTTCCCTTATTCCAGTTGTTCTTTCCTTTTCAGCAGTTTCCTTTATTTTCACACTATTGTATCTCCTATATTTTATTCACTCTTTCAGGGTCTTACACTAGTGAGACAATGTGGTGTTTACACATGTGGGTCTGATTTATTTCACTTATGAGTATGGCCTGTAGTTGTGTTCATTTACCTATAAAAGCCTCAAGTTTGTCTTTCTTTATAGCTGAGTAATACTTCATTTTATAAAAATGCCACAACTTTTTAATCCATTCCTCAGTTGATGGGCATTTGGGTTGCTTCCATGATTTAGCTATAGCAAATGAGCTGCTATAAAAACATGGGTGCACATATATTGCTGTGTTGTGATGTTTTTAGTTCTTCTGGGAAGATACCATTGAAATTATCCCATGCATATTATCTGACCATAGTGCAGTTAAATTGAAAATTAGTGACAGAAGGAACCACAAAAACTCCGTAAACACTGGGAAATTAGCAACCTCCTGAACAACCAATGGGTCACAGAAGAAATTAAAGAGGAAGTTAAACAATACTGACAAACAAACAAAAACATAAATACACTTACCGGAATCTATGGGATGCAATGAAAGCAGTCCTCAGAGGTAAATTCATAGCAGTGAATTCACACATAAGGAAAACAGAAAGAGAACAAATAAGTAGCCTAATGCTACACCTCAAACTCTAGAAAAAGAAGAATTAAGTCTGAAGCCCAAAGAAGGGAGGAAATTATAAAGATCAGGGCAGAAATTAATGCAATTGAGATGAAGAAAACACTACAAAAAATTAATGAATCAAAGATTTTGTTCATGGTAAAACACTCATTCATGGTAAAACCATTTGTTCTCCTAGCCAACCTTATCAAAAAAAGACAAAACTCAAATTCATGCAATAAGGAATGAAAAGAGTGAAATCACTACAGATCCTATAGAAATTCAAAAGATCATCAGTACCTACTTTGAAAATCTTTACTCCTATGGGATAGAAAACTCAGAAGAAATGGACAGATTCCTAGATATATATGAATTAACCAAAGTTGAATAAAGAAGATATAAACATCCTGAACAACCCAATATCAATTAATGAGATTGAAAATGTGATTAAAAACTTACCAACAAAGAAAAGCCCAGGCCCTGATGGGTTCACAGCAGAATTCTCCAAGAAATTCAGACAAGATTGAATGCCAATACTCCTCAAACTCTTCAATGAAATTGTAAAGGAAGCAATTTCCCCTAAGTCATTTCTGGAGGCAAGTATTATACTGATAGCAAAACCAGAGAAAGACCCAACCAAGAAAGAGAACTACAGACCAATCTCCCTAATAAACATAGATGCAAAGATAATCAATAAAATACTAGCAAATAGAATACAGCAAATCATCAAGAAAATCATACACCGTGACCAAGTGGCATTCCTCCCAGGAATGCAGGGATGGTACAATATATGCAAATCAATAAATGTAATATATCATATCAATAGAGCCAAAGACAAAAATCACATAATCATCTCAATAGATGCAGAAAAAGCTTTTGGCAAAGTTGAACACTCGTTCATGGTAAAACCTCACAGAAAATAAGAATAGATGGTCTTTTATCTCAATCTGATCAAAGCTATCTATGACAGGCCAACAGCTAACATCATACTAAATGGACAAAAACTGAAAGCTTTCCCTTTAAAGTCAGAAACAAGACAAAGATACCCACTGTCACCACTCCTATTCAACATAGTTCTGGAAGCATTAGCTAGAGCAATTAGACAAGAGAGAGAAATAAAAGGAATAAGGATAGGAAAGGAAGAAGTGAAATTATCATTATTCACAGAAGAGTATTCGTTAAAAGCATTGTTCTTTCCACCATTAAATTGTTTCAGCATTCTTGTCAAAAATCATTCTGTCATTTGTGTGAGGTTTTATTTTTGAACCCTAAATTTTACTCCATTGACCTATATGTTACCATTATGCTGGTATCACACTTCTAATGAATGTAGCTCTCCAGGTTTTGAAATTAGGAAGTATGAGTCCTCCCACTTTGCTCTCCTTTTTCAGTATTGTATTGGCTCTTTTAATCAACAGATTTCCCATATGAATTTTAAGATAAGCTGTTTAATTTCACTGAAGAAGTTAGCTTGGATTTTGATAGACAATGAATTGAATCTGTAGACTGTTTAGGGAAAGCTTAAAAATACTGTTTTGTCTCTGTAGGTATATAGCTCAGTGGCCCTGGTTTCAACCCTTAAAAAAGAAAATTTTCTGATCCATAAACATGGATGTCTGTCCACTTGTTTAGGTTATCTTTAATTTGTTCAACAGTTGTAGCTTTCAGAATACACATTTTGTGCTTTTTAAAGTTAAATTTATTGTTAGGAATTTAAATTTTCCATTTGATACTATAAATAGAATTTTATAAATTTCATTTTTTGTTTTGTTACTGTATGGGGATATAGTTCATTTTGATATATCAGTGTGTAAATTTGCTGAATTCATTTATTTCAATTTTTTTTAGTATTGGTATATCCTTTAAATTTTCTGTGTACTGTACAAGATCATGCCATCTGATAATTTTTCTTTTTTTCCAGTGTGTGTTCTTTTTATTGTAATTGACCTGGTTTGTCTTCACTGAAATGGTAAATGGTGATGACAAGAGAAGTTCTTGTTTTTTCTTGGTCTTCAGGGAAAGCAGACTTCTTAGTGGTGGTGATGTTTGCTGTGGGATTTTTACAGATGCCTCATATCGAGTTGAAGAAGTTCTTTTTATTTCAGTTTTATTGAGTGTTTTTGTCATGAAGAGGTGCTTGATTTTTATGAAATGCTTTGCAGTAGCTGTTGAAATGGTGATGCAATTTTTGTCCTTCATTCTGCTGATATGACACGTTACATTGATTTTTA